GGGCGGGCAAGGTCAAGCGTGGCGATCTCAGATGGAAGGCAGCGCCGCGGAGCAAAGACCGGTCGTTGATAGTCGCCGAGGGGAGAGAGAGAGAGGGACAGAAGTGAGTGGAGAGGGACAGGGAGAGGGAATAAGGACAGAAAACTAGGGAAAAGAAAAGCAATGAGGAAACGCATGCAGGGATAAAAGGAGGGAAGGGGCGCTGGGGGCAATGCTGGGAGGAGCAGAGGAAAAGAGAAGAGAACCAAAAAGACACCCACACCGAGGCGACATAAAAAAGCAGCGGGCAGGGAGAGGTGCGCAGCCGAGCACCCGCAGGTGCTGGGGGGGACATCTGGCGGGACTCGAGGGTGCGAGGGTGTGTGACAGTCGCGCTCGTAGGCGGGAGAAAAGGAGGCAGCGTGTTTGGTGGGCGACTCAGCGCCCGTGGAAAAGCGTGTGAGCGGCTCTGGGCAGGAATCCAACAAATAAATAAAACGTCTAAGCGGCGTGACAACAATGTGTATTTGGGTGCGTGCCCGTGTTCCTGTGTCTGAACACACACTCACACCCGGTAAGGAAGACAAACGGGGCTCGCGCCTCAGAGTAATTAATCCTCTCACTAATTGACTCTCTCCCCTTACCTAACGGTGGTGGTCAGTGCCGACATCTGGAGAGATATCAAAGAGGGGGGACCCCCAAAGCTAACTACGTTTGGGACTGGGATTGAATTCTTTCTGGACTTGGCAGCTCGAAATCCTCCCTCTGTAGGGGCAGAGTTCAATAGATGTTGCTGCCTCACCAGTCTCTCCATGTTTGCATTAATGAAAATCTCCTCCTATTAGGGATGGCCAGGAGTCGTCCACATATGCGCTGAAGCCCTTCATCAATCTCAGGCTGAAAGCCACCTACTTACACCTCTGCCGGACATTTCCTACCTTTAGGCAACACCAAGGCTCTCCCTGCCCCACTGTTCCCCCAGGAGCCCAGGCTCTGCATTCTCTCTGTCATGACTTTGTCTTCCCCAGAGCCTGGGTTGTGTCCTGCAGCTCTTAGTAGAGTAGGTGGAAGTTTTGAATGGGCTGGGAAGCAGCCTTGGGTAGATGGAGGGAGACCGGCAGGAGAGTTGAGGTCGGGGCAAGGATAGGAAGAAGCTTCTAGAACCAAACTCATTCAGACACAGGTGGAGAGACACAGAAGCCCAGGGGAGTGCAGTGCACCTGGCAAGAATGAGGCCTCTGGGGACAGAGTAGAAAAAAAAGGTAGACACCGTGCACCATGGGAGAGAGCGTCAAGTGTGTGGGAAGGCAGGCAGATGACCATGTCTCAGTGACTGTGAGGGGAACAGTTCCATCAGTGTGTGAGCATGGGGAGGGGCCCCTCTTAATTTCTCCTATAGCACCCTCAGTTCTCAGGGCTGGGGGAGGAGGCAGTGAAGAGAGTATTGGACTTAGATCAACCCCTTGATAGTGGAGTTGGCCAGAAGGGGCCCAGGGCCCATAGTCTGTTTGGTGATGCAGCTTTGAGGCTTGGGTTTGGGAGGTGAATGTCAACTCTCACCCCATAGAGGTGGCAGCCCTCCTCAGGGGCTAAATAAATAATTAATTGCTGAGATCCATAACCTGCTTAGCCTAGGGAGAAGAAGGAGCAGGGAAGGGCAGCTCCCCAGGAAAAAAGATTCACTTCCCCCTCCCCCACTAAACACATTCTTAATTGTCCCTTGGGAACATTTGTACATTTGACCAAAGCAAATCCCCAAGCAGTAACAGCAGAATTCGTCATAGGGGCTGGCAGTCCTGAGAGAGCTGGGGGTCTGGGAAGGGGGAGGTGGGAGAGATGGTGGGCATGTCTGAGGAGGTGAGAAACTTGGCTCTTCTCTCCCTGTCTCTGTCATGCTTTAGAAAGAAAGTGAACAAGAGGAATAAAGTTCCAGAGGAAAGAAAGAGAAGGGCATATAAAAGGCAAATCCAAATCAGGAAGAAAAGAAAGTGAAGGAAGAAAGAAAAAGGCGGGGGTGGGGTGTGGGGGGGAGACATGCTAATAAAAAAGGGTGAAGGCGGCCCCAGGAGGCTGGGCCTCGTCCCAAACCATCCGTCTTCATTGTCTCCGTGTGTGCTAAGGCAACTCCGGCATAAGGAAAAGCCACTATTGGAGCCGCGGCTTTATTTTATATCCTATACATCAGGAGGGAGGCAAAGCTTTATTTTCGCCAAGAGACAGATATTTTATTTCTCTCTTACGGTTTTATGTGTGAGAGATGTCAGGTTGCCACAATGGATGGCTAATGCATAGGCAAGAGGAAGCCGTGTTGGCATGCTGTGTGTCATGGGGTCTTGGGGGGGTGAGCGGGCCTGGGATTTAGGGCTGATGGGACACTCTGGGGGATTTCTGCTAAAACATCTCTCTTCATAAATCCAGAAGCATGGTCAGCTCAACAGGGAGAAGAAGGAGTTTTAGAGGGAAAAGAGTTGGGCTTAGAAATAAATGAACACACAAAGGAGCTGCTTCCCTTCCGACAGACTGGGGCCACGGGAGCAAGGTGGCCCTGTGGAAAAGCAGAGACCCACATCCAAACGCACATGTGCCATTTGCGAGGCAGTGTCTTCCTCCAGAATCCACTGTCATTGTGCTTCCTTTCCCCGTTTTATATTTTTCCACCTTTTTCTTCCCCCTGTTCATCAGAAATCTTTTTTCCACCTCCTCAGAGCCTTAGGGGGAAAGAGCTATTAATTTGCAAATCATCTGATCTGTGAAAGGATCAAGATGCCTGTTTTTCACCGCTAAATCCAATGTCTTGGGTGGACACACATATGCACACATGAGCCCGTCATGCTGCGAATCCAGAGGGTGGGGATGCCAGGTTTCAATCCAAGAAAAGTGCCCCACTCCCTGCCCTCCCCCCACCTGGGACCTGCGGCTCGAATTAAGCCTTACATCCCAAACTGCATAACGTTCATGTTCGTATTTTTGAACCAGAGAGAAGGGGGAGGTGAGGGGACAAAGAGAGATAGGGAGGTGTGTTAATGTACATGTGCCATTCAGGACTTGGACTAGTCTCCCTACTTCCAACCCCCCAAACCATTTTTTACAAGAGTTGCTTTTATTCATTCTCAGGTCCTACTTTTCCATTTTTTTTAAAATTTCTTGGTCTATAACCACTGTGGCACAGAAAGGAGATCATGCTCTTTTCCTCTTTGCAAGGGGGATGAGAGGCGGCTTTGGATCTCTAGACAATGAACATGGGGGACCCAGCCACACTGTCCTGAGCTGTGGCCTTTGGGGAAGGCATTTAGCCTTTCTGGGCCTCAGTTTCCCCATATGTATTGGGCTAAGTGATTGCTAAGGTTCCTTCCAGCTTCGACCGAATGAGATAATGTGTGAAAACATTTTGTAAACGCTAAAGCTGGACGAATGCCAGGGATTATTATACGATTCTAATCAATCCTCTTTTCTCCACATGGATCTTGGCTGTTTAGCGCCAGCAAGCAGGCTAAAGAGGGCTGAAAGCGAGAAAGCTTA